TTTTTTTTTTTTTTTTAGATATGTTTAACAATTGAAAATCAACTACTCAAATTTATCGCACAGATCTTAATAAATACATGATGATTTTAAGAAATTATAATAGGTTGATTAATGTGTAAATTACACAAAATTTGTTAAACTTCTTTGAATGCTTTTTTACACTTGAATATAAAAAAAAGATATGATTTCCTGATTATCGTTTATAACTTTATGTATTACATGAACATACAATACAAAATCATAAACTCGAGAATAATTTGCTGTGAATATATCTAACAGTTTTTCTTACTTCTACTCAGATCTTGTGACTGTACAGAAAACAACTGTTTTTTTTTTTTATTTTCTTTTAATTTTTATATCCTAACGTGGATAATAGTAAGAATCAACAATTTTTTTTTAATAAACCTTCAAATGTATCTACTTTAAGTTTGCTAATATCGATATTACAACTATGTATAAGTATGTATTATGCATTTACGTGTGAATATATAACTATATAACTATACAAACGGGACTCATTTCGTTCCCTACTTATATAACAGTAAGTGATCATCATACCACAATCATTAATCATCAATTGTTTGATTAATGATATATGAAACATATCGTCAGCATTGAGAATATCTTTCATGAAATAAGCAACAATCCTATATTGAAAAGTATTTAATTTCTTTTTGATACTTTTATACTTTAAAAGTAATAAATAATATTCGTTCTTATTCGGTGTACCAAAACTAAGTATCGAGAATTATTAATTTCTACAAATATTGGACCCTTTTAATATTGCATGTTCGATTCTAATAACATATCACGTAGCAAGAAAATATAGTTTGTTAATAGTTTAAATATCTTTATTTTTTACTTGTAAACCAATTTTCAATTTTTCTTTAATTTTTAAAAGTAAAAAAACATTTCAGGCTATTTCACTGAAATCACGTAAACAAAAAATAAAGTAAAATGCAAAGAGATACAATTTTACCTAGAGATTGCACACGATACTGACGACATGATCACTTTCCATAAAGATTGGCAGTTACAGCCTGGACGTATTACTGTCCAAAACAGAGCAAAAATGGTAAGACATTTTATGAATCTTATCTGCACCAATATCCTGTTATATCCAATTATCTCCTTATAAATTGAGTGCACAGGATTGATAATAAAAGACAGATCAAGGTAGTCTAGTTCTATATTAGCCTTTTCATATACTATTTGGAGAACTCTCGAAAAGTTTTTCATTTATAGATATTAAATAACACTTTTCTAGAGAATCTTATAGTGATATGAAAAGGTACAGTGTATTATACTATGGCATTAAAATATATTAAGCAAGTTTTCGAAAATCCCTTTTTGTTCAACACACTGTCCGATTTCTTCTCATACCGTTGTTTATCATTTCGAGATATTTATATATAAAATTCATTTAAGACTTGAAAATATCATTGCAAGGCATGTGTACGAGGGACTGAAATATGTAACGACAAATAGCACACAGCAAGCGCAAATTAGCATCATTAATTAATACGAAAGTATTTTACAATTAGCCTGATGGTAGTAGGATTCAATTTTAATAAATTTAAAAATTCATAACGATATATGTGTTGCCACAGATATTACGTTTAAAGTATATCTAACACGTAAATCACTCGTTGACATGCTCTATTTTTTTTTTTTTGTTTCCTGTCAGCTTTCTTGATTTATCACAGCTGGGGCAAAAGTGTCAAGAAAGAAATCTTGTCTTGCACGCCCAAAAAACAAAGTTGGTTCAGATTTCTACTCAACGTAGTCCCACCAATCTTTTTCATAACCTTCATGTACATGTTCCAAAAGCACTTTCCTCCGACTATCGCAATATCTTGAAATAAAAATAATACATATACATGAATTCTGTGCTTTAAAATTTAATTCTTGATCCAATAATATTACGTTATCGTAATAATAATAAAAAGAAAGACGAACTTATATTTATCTTACCTATATTTATCTTGAACTTTTTGTTTAATATCAGCAAGATTTTCGCTTGTAATATCTCGTTCAAGGTATTCAGAAAGGCGTTCTGTAGTGCCTTCCAGATCCTTTTGGTTGTCTTCAAAAATCACAGATTGGTTGTTTTTTCGCACGTAATAAGCAAAAACATAAGTATACATAAGAGTCTGTCTACAGGAACACAAAATGTCTACTGCTTTCTTCAAAAATTGTACCTGAAAATAATGTTTTTATAAAGCACTACTTTTGCATTTAACTATATTATAATTTTACCTCAATCCATGACATATTATGCTGTTGCATCTCCTCCATTTTCTCTTTTACACTTGCATACAATTTACTTTCGAATTTTAATGATTGCATATGATTTATATATCTATTACAGTAAAATAGATATCTCTGTAATGCGGATCGCGATTTTTCTTGAGCATCTCTCGCGGCTTTAGCCTCTTCTTCATCGTAACGATTACAATTATACCAACTGGAACCGTGTGGTTCCCACGGCCCGAGACACACCCAACAGAAATCAGTTTTACAATTTTGATTTTTGCATACCATATGATTGCATCCACCATCTTTCTCAATCGTGACGTTACATTTCGGACATTCTTTTGTGTTTGCGGCAATCCAATTTGACGTTTCGGAGTCATCATCGCACTTCTTTATCCATTTACGCAATAAATGACATTTTACAGGATCATGCCAATTTTCGCCGCAATGGAAACAGAAGGTATGTCCACATTTACAAGTTACCGGCCTTGCTTCTACATACTGCACTTTTATAGCATTATTACAATCTGGAGATGGGCACCACCTTAATAACCTATTGCACTACAAAATAAGATTGTATATAGTATATAGTATAATTATCACATAATTTTTCAATGGAACGAAAAAGTGAAAGATATTTACTTCAACAAAACTATTTGTTATTAAATGTTGATATTTCAGTTTCACTTTAGAGTCTTTTACAAGACGCATAACACTGGCATCGTCAACTAAAATATCACAAGCATGGGCCGCACATGCAATAGTTTGACCAACTCCTTCTTCCATAATTTTAGTTGTGAGATATTCCCCCCAGCAGCCAGTACAAAAACGATGTCCACATTCAAGTCCAGTCATCATCTAAATATTTTTTTAGAATATATTATATGTATATATAAAATTTTGATAGTTTTAATATTAGTTACTGTTTTGCATTTATTCATACACGTACTGCAGATGGTTGAACGGTAAAACAAATCCCACATTCTTCCGTACCATTTGTTGAAGTTCTTCTGGACTGAAAGTTTTAAACATATCGTGTCTTAATTCTACATTTGTTTTTAGAAGTGACATAAACACTACAAAAATGATATAAAATTTTATATACCAATGAACTTTGAGAAGATTGATTTCTATTTATTAATGGACCTTTCCTAAATGGATTCACAACTCGTGCTTCCGCGAACAACTTCTCTTGATCACCATCATAAAAGCGCTCCATTAATTTTTCCTTGTCCCATTTGAAATGATTTAACAAAATGCGCGTAGTTGTAGCTGGTATCTACAATTAAAGAATAACATATTTCACATATTTATATAATAATTATAATAAAAAATAAACTTTCATTGATTTTCATGAACAAAACATACTTCTACAACTGTATTAACTTCCTTAATAGAATCAACCATATGCTGCACTATTTCCTCTGTTGACAACACTTCAAAAGGATAGTCGTCAACGTCCGTGGCCCTTTCTCTCGGGTTTCCAGCCTCGATTTCCATTGCAAAATCGACATCATCTCCACTAGACTCATTGCCAGAGTCGACATCGTCATATGTTTCTTCCTCGGAATCCATCGCGAATCCTCCGGTTTATTAAGTAATTGAAGTACTAATATACTCGTTTACTCTATATACTTTGTACCTGCATAAAAAGAGAAGTACCATTTATATCGTATCTGGTACTTTAACCTTTAAACCAGATCCTGTCAATGTTCACTTGACTCATTCAATTACACTACTGTTTTACTTGAAAATAATCATAGATGCATACGTGCAAAGAAAAACAATACACTGACACATTTTCATTTGGATTTGTATTTAAGCGGCCAAAGAATCATAGACGAAAAGAAGTGTACGAATGCGAATGTATTTACTGGTTTGGTATCGTACTCGATGAATTTCTCAACACAACTTTCGTTCGAGAGGGTATCACACCTGCACCCGCGGAATATTGTTGTAGCGGAACAAGGTGAAAACAGCTTATGTTGAACACATGACGTCATCGTTCGCTACTTCTTGAATAAAGTGAGAGACTTGCCCGCGGGTTTCCCTCTATTTACTATCGGCAGTGTCTCGCGAAATTTACAATTACGGCACTAAACGACTCCCCCGAAACAAACGTGAACAGTGAGAACCTCAAAATGTTTCCGCCATCGATATAAGCAAGAATAAAATCAGCTGCCAAAACATCCGAGTTGAACTCCGGCAGCTGATGCACTAAACGCTAGTTTCACGGCGAACGGACGAACGAGCCACCGTGTCGTTAGCCAATCAGAACGTTTCTATATACATGTCGCCCAATGGCATACTCTGTTTATCGAACTGATATTTTAGAATTGTTCTTTACTTTCTGTTGATTCTTCGTTCTAAACGGGTTCTAAAACCAGTTTGTTTTATGCACAGTTCCGGTCGATTTACATAATTACAAGTAATTGCACACCGATGAAAAGAAATTGATTTAGAGCGAAATATTATAAACGTCATATATTGGCAATCGGGAGGAAAAAAGGTTGATCCAGTGTTCGTGACTTAATTAAAACAAGTTTCTACTCCCGAAACATTTTGCCCATGACTGATTATTCCTGTGTAATAAGAAATGTATAAGACGTATCTTCTGATGTATAGAGTACACCATTTTTGACAACTTACGTATGAAAATTAAAAAAAAATTAATAAACTGCATGTACACATATAATATATAGACACACACACACACACACACACCATGTGTACTTGACAAATGTCAAGTTTCACAAACATTAAAATAATATTGGAGATTTATTTTAATATCATTGAACATGTAAAAATTTTGAATAAGGTTCAAGAATTTTAACGACCACGAAACACCAAATACACTATGCTAGATATGTATATCGATGCTTATGTACGTTATCAGATATATTACCATGCACAATAATCTTTTCAGCCATTGCACTAGACAAGTCACCGAATCAGCAGGCTAATCGTGTAAAACCATCAATTAATCTAGGATGCACCGCTTGCCATGAAAGAAGGGACGAGCTTATAGCTCGAATACTGCTGTCACGTCCATGGCAGTACGCGCAACGATTTTTTTTTCTTTTCTTCTACCGATATCAAACACACGATGCTATTTGCTTTTTGCACTGCCTGTCGAAACCATAGGGTTAGTTTCGATGGATGAGAATCGACACGAAATTTCACGTGATACTATCCGGAGAATTAAGAATCTGAGGAGGGACGCGACGACGAAACGTCTTGTCATTGAGTGCAGTTTTTACTGACTTCGGTCAACTGCCTGAAGTTAGCCACTTACGCGACGCACAGCTGACACGCATGGGCGTCTCTACGCAGAAAGCACAATTTTCAAATCTTCATTGCAACGTTAAATCTATTAATTTCATAATTAAATTTTATAATGACGATCACAGACGTAAAGTTGCAATTTTTATAACCTCTCGAGATAATTTCCTAGGGAAATTTTACTAGTCGTAAATCAATTACGAACGTTTTGACTTTCGAATCGCGAATGTATTTCTCAATACAAGCACTGATTTTGTACAAGGACAATAGCAAGTAAGCAGTCCTTGAAGTAATAATTTCCAAATAAGTTACTAGTTCTACGTAAGTTACGAATGTTGAAAATAAATTGTATTTTGATACATATGTATGTATGCAGATGCGATACACGCTACACGCGGGACGTTAGAATTTAAGGAATCGTTCGAAATCTCGAGATATTACGCCAATGTACGCAGAAACGACAAGCGAAGGAGCTCACGGCGTTCTGTCAAGCTAAGTTAACCTCGTGGTGCAGTAGTATTCAGGACAAATGTCCAAGTGGATTAGTTGCCGGGTAAAATGAGTTTGCCCAGCGTAAGTGATTATTCTTTGTTAGAAAAAATTGGCTCAGGAAGTTACGCGACTGTCTACAAAGCTTTCAAAAAGGTACGTGCATTTTGAGGTTTGGTGCGAATCATACACAAATCATATGACGACAGTGTCGTAACTAGGTTAATAGATGCCGCACATGTGATAAACCGTAACGTAAAATCGTACACATAATTTATATCTCTTTTTGTTTTTTCTTTCATATGTATAACATTAAATGTTAATTCAGTGTTATTTAACAGTTCAATTTAAGCCTAAGCGTACTTTAGCTACTTTATGTTCTGGGAAAAATTAATATTGTGTTTATGTTAATAAATGATTGCTTCAAGGCAGACATCGCATGATGTATTTAATTATATTTTTAATGACTTTATTATATAACAATTACATTTACTAGCTTAACGTATATATTTCTCTCTTTTTCTTTTTGTTGGTTATAAAGATTCATGAGACATACACATGCATAGATCGTACAATTCGGTAAACGTACGACTTTATCGCAGAATTCTAACATCGAAACATGCAAATGAAACAACTTTTATGCTGATTACATCTAGTTAAGGATTTAATCCTTGATAGATTTGAATTAATTTGAATTTAATGAAAGATTAATGAATATTTCACGTGCTGCGATTATTGTGAATTTTAAGCACGCTGTTTACGATGCAATTAAAACCGCAATGGCGTAGGAAGGGACAAATGAGATAATTATATACACACGTAGTTCGCGTTGATAATGTTTTTTTAATACATTTCATTTTTCCCAAACGTGTCATTCATACGTCAATCAAATTCAACTCGAATTAATGACAAATTATACGAGACGAGAAATTTCCTTTCTGCAACGCGTAATACAATTTTGCAAACGCGAGTACGCGTTATCGATTTAATCTTAATCAATGAAACTGTCACGAGTCTGATAAATAAAATCTAGAGATAAGCCAGCGGAATCCACGTGAATTGCTATATCTAAACGTAAATTTATCCATAAGCTTGGAAACGATTGATCGCCCTGCGAGTGTTAGTCACTACGTTTCATTGACAGTTGGCCTTTATATATAAAAGAGAGAGAGAGAAAAAAAAAGACACAATGCACAAGCATTTAATATACATGATGCAGATAATTTAAAATACACGCCTGATTATCGGTACACGCCTGTGACAGTATTTTAAGATGCGTGATACAACGCACACAGAGTTACGTTCTTCAC